CATTACCAAACACTCGTGAGCAAGCACACATACCGGGTTGTTTTCCGCCAACAACCAGTTTCCTCTGCAGTGCTCTAGCGACGCGGGGCTAAAATCATCTGCGAAATCAAGTGAATTTTGTGCTGGTGGCCATTGGCCACTGCTAGGCAGTGCGCCAAATGCTCCAGTAGGTACCCCTTCATCCAGGATGCTGGGGAGCTGTGCGTCCTTGTCTTGGATGGCCTGCGCCATGAACTGTAGGGCTGTAAGGCGGAAAGGCTGTCATTCGGAGAACCGAAGAAATTGCTCTTTGTCGCTGCTTGGCGCCAGTGTCTCATGCATGATGTGCGCTAGTGCGTTGCGATGCTCTTCTGACAAGGGATGAGAGTCTTGGCCAGACTTCACAAATGCTTAGCGATGTGCGTAACAAGGTTATGCGATTTGAGATATTTCTTAAAGGCTTGGGCGAGAACGGCCAAGGGTTTAGGCTTAGTGCTGGTATTGTTGGATGAATGGTCTGCAGTGCTGAACATGCCTGCACCGTCACACACTGCTGGCCTCCGCGGGAGAAAACAGCTCGGCAGATATTTAATTGCGGAGACTTCCACCGGAGAGTCCAAATGTGACGTGCATTCTTGACGCAAGTGCAAGCAGTCGAGTATATGCGTCGCCGTGTTTGGCGATACACGGCAGTGACGCGTGTGTGGAGCATACGATGCGCATTCGCGCACTGTCAGCAAATTGCAATTGTATGCAGTGCGTGGCAAGCTCTTGACATAGCTGGATATAGAGCTTTTCTGTGTGACTAGAGCTGGGCCGCGGATACTCGAAGAAAACGTGGCAGCCTTGCAAGTGTGCTGCGCGGAGCAGCGCGCAGAGCTTGACATGTGATTCGCGGCTGAAAACCTGATCTGGAAACAGGAGCACTGAAAGGATCCTTGCGAGGCCAGTGGAGCGCCGAAAGTGATTCTGTCACAAGTGAAAGGATCCTCTGCGATGCTGATGAGCTGGAGTCTGAAGTAGGCGATGCCGGCGCTGAGTTGTGCTGTGCGGGAGACTTGGCTGCGGTGTCCGGAGTCTTTGCTGGCGGTTGCGTTGCGGTAGCTGCTGATGCGTCGGAGCTGGGCTTGTCCATCTTTGCCGGCGTTGCGTTGCGGTAGCTGCTGATGCGTCAGAGCTGGACTTTTCCGGCGCTGCCGGGCTTGGTGACTTGGGCAACTGGACCGGCCCGGCTGGGCCCAGCTGCGGCCGTCAAAAGCTCGGTGCCTCTTGCGGATTGCGGTGCTGACAGGCTGGATGATTCTTTCCGCATGGCTCGCCTGCACAGTGCTTCCTCGGAATGAACTTGTGAGCTCCACGGATTTTGCTCTCCGGTAGGTCAATTGCATTACGACGCAATGAGTCAATGAACGCCTGGTAACGAAGTGGCGTTACCCTTAGTGCAAGATGTTGCCTGACAACGCATGCAAAAATGTTACACCGGTAAGCGTGTCGCATGATTGCATCAATATGTGGGCCTGGCTGTGTAGTGACTGGAATACTACACACAACCAATGCTTGCAACTGCTCAAAGGCGTCCATCGGGAGAGAAGTGGAGAGATGACTGAGTACATCACAAGGCAACTGTGACACATAGACATTCAGATTGGGGGATACTCCCCTGTCACATGCCTCATTTGCCTGCGAAATGCAAGCCTCAACCAGTTCAAGAGCACTCAAAACGACACTAGCATCAAGCTGTTGATGCTTAATCCCGAACGTTAGACCCTGCGTACGGTCCTGTGTGGTTCTTCGGAAGAAGACCTGGTCTTGCAACTTGGCAAATCCCATATAAAGCCAATCCGTGGCAATGTCGGTCGGCAAAAAAACCAACGGCAGCACTTAATGAAATGAACCAAGTGACATTACCGGAATCAACATAACCCTCCTGCATGGGACCCTCTGCATCGCGCTGCCGAATCGTTACCCAGACAGGATAGGCTTCATTTGATGGAGCACCAGGCTTCGCAGGTACAGGTGACGGGATAAGGTCTTGCTGATCTCTGAAATGATTGATCTGAACATTATACTCTGATGAGGGAAGATACTTCTTCTGAACATCATAATAGACGAGGTCTTGCGGGAAGCCCTTGGGCGTCGAGAAGACAACCTTAACTTCGTTGGAGGAGTCAATCAACGCCAACACTTCCTTGACCCTTCGTGGTATGGGATCAATCATTACAATGCGCATGTGGGGCTTGATGGTCCCCGCCAGAGCAGCAACATCTTCGATCCAAGACGTACAGACCCGGTCAATCCCTGCAGCGAAGGCCTCACCTTCTTCAATAGCAGACGGAAATGACGCAAACAAGACATCGACCTTTAGATCCATCACAACAAGTTTTTCAAGAAGATGTCTCCAAAGCTCTTTGCACGTTTCTCTAGCCGCTATGTCATGTGCAGTCATTCCGGCAGCTTCTGACTCTTGAAACCAACAAGCAATGAAATCACTATAGTTCGCAGAGACAAGCCTTAGTAATTCAAGCAGATGCACAGTCTCCGATGCTACAGAGACAAAGAAAGCCGACTGACGTATGTCAGAAGGACACAAAGGAAGCTGCAACGATGGTGTAGTGCACAGCACGTCCTCAAATGCGACTGAAGAATAGAAAAGCCGACTGACGTATGTCAGAAGGACACACGGAATTGCGAAAAGAACTCCCTTTGGCAATCAAGGTGGTACAACCTTCCAATAGACAGAGAGTCACCAATCCGGCTTCAACAGGCTTTTCTAAATGCAATCGTCCGACACAGACGTGCACAGCAGGTCTCAAATGGACGTGTACTGCAGGCCTTAGAGATGATTAGCCAAACGCCGACTGACGTATGTCAGAGGGACACAAAGCCAAATCTGCAACTTAGTGGCAAGGTTCCGTACCGAACGTCCACTACTTGGGGCCTTTCCGCACAGCTGGACAACAGCACTTTTGAGAGATTCCGTCGCCAAAGCAAGCTTTCCACAGCATTCGGCTTGTTTGGCAGCCCTGTGCATTGCCTTCTCAAGCGTCGGCTCTGCGCGGCCAACCGTTCGAGGTTTTTCGGCGGCAGCTACACGGCAGGCCTGGTGGGAGTGCTCCTGCACAAGCTCTGGCCTTTAGCACGACCGGCAGTCCCTTGGCAAAGCGACGGGTGGTGTCCTGATGCGACATCCAGCGATTCTCCTGTCCAGTATTCTCAAGCGCGGCACCCTGGCAGACATGAAAGTGCAGAAAATCCACCACACGCTCAAGCGACAGCTCACCGAGTGAGATCTAAACAGCAGGCAGCAGCAGGTTGATCGGCTTTTCCTCTTCGTAGCAATAGAGCCTGACCTCTTGAATGATCCAGAAGCGCAGCTTCGCAACACAATGTGGCAGGAAGCTGCAGTGACAGTGCGAACAGCCGCGAGGAGACGCGGTGGCAATAAGTCTCCGGCACCAAGCCGCTTGAGGGACTCCTCAGTGACGCGGTGCGGAAAGAGAACAGCCATGACCTTGCCGACCTTACTGTCAACTAGACCTCGACTACGGTAGAAGGCATCCAAGAACACAAAAAGTCTTCGCTGGCATAGATGATGCGTAACCGACAAGGAAGCCGCAAGAGTTCCGCGAAGAGCCAACCAACTGCGCCAATCTCCACGGCTGCCGCCGGTGCCTCATCGGCCGTTGCTTCTTTGGAGGTGGATGGCGGGTCCACGGGCGGGAAATTAGTTTCTCCTGGAAGATTGTCTCAGTTTTGGCACATACGTGCTTGGCTTGTCATGTTCCAATGGCCTCCCGTCCCCGCAAAACACGTGGCTCGTTCTCGCATCGCCAGAGCGGTAACCGGCCTCCTTTCGAGGGCTGTCTGCTGCGGTTGGAGTTCCGTCAAGGGCAGTTCTGGCAGTTTTTGTGTGGAGCTGGTTGTCTCTGACACGGTCACGGGAAAGACCTCCGAACAGTGCAGAGCCGAGCGACGCAACCGCTTTAACTCCACTACGGCCCTTTTGCTCATCCGTCAGTGGCTCAACTTTCTTGGAGCCCCCCCACAACCGAATCATGTTTGCAGCTGGGATCTTTCCCTTCGTTGCTTGTCGTGCATCAAAGTAGGAAGTGCATTAGATGTATTTTCACAGGTGCTAAAAAACACCCGAGACGCGGATCCCTCTGGCCATTGGCATGCCCGTTCAGCCTTGCACCAGGCCAGCCTGGCTACGCCCACCACCTCTCTCTTATATCCATGTTTCAAAACTGCGCTACGTTGTGGTGTAGTCTCTGGCTGTTTCGTTCATAGGGTAAGTCCTTCTCCCCGGTTTCGGCCGGAACTCGCTCCAGAACGCGGCCTAGGAGGCTCAGGGCTGGCTGTTAGAAGGCCCGAAAGTGCGCGCAAAGTCCATGCAAAATCTTTTGGGCTAAAATGCGGCTCTGGGCAGGTCGTCGTCTTAAGGATTGAGGTAGACCGCGATGTGGGGGCTCGGCGTTGGTTGGAAGCCCGGCTCGGCCTCAATTTTTGTGTCTAGACAACCTATACCAAAATGTGGCCTTGGCCCTCCTACTCTATCCGGCGAGATGTTTTGAGCGAAGGTATGTTCCTTGAGTGCAATGTCCACCACGAAAAGGTTTGATTTCTGACGAAAAGGCACGGTAGAGGCTGAGCAACCCCTCGCACAGCCGTCAAGCCTGCATGACCACGGCAAGATTTGGGCCGGGTATTTCTGTTGAGTGCCAACTGCTCTGCACCAAACACAGGTCATAACCTCCAAGGTGCTTCCTTTCAAAAACAGTCAACAGGACCTGTCTGTGCCACACCTCAACCTCTTGCTCGGAAGCACGCACCAGTGCGAACCATGATCCCGACATGCAGCGCATACTTGTGATTCACGACATGACGACACCACTTGCAGCCGAAGCCTTGCACACACTTGCAGTCATTCAAGGCAAGCTCGGATGCGGTCGGGCCACCTGCCAACACCGAATTTGACAACAAAACGTCACTGGTCTCAGTGCGGGCGTTGATTTTGCTCCTCACTCGGCGCTGTCAGGGCCTGGTACTCCAGCAGCAAGACCTGAGAGATGGCGCAGGAAGGGTGGGATGAGGGCCACCAAGTCTTCTTGCTGCAACGAAAATAGGTCGTCGATGAAGCCTTTGGGAAAATTGGAGCCAAGCACCGCCAAAAACTCCACGTTCCGTTGCCTCACCGTTTCTGCTGCTTTGTGCAGCTTCTTCGACTGCTCTTCGACATCCTTTCGGTTGAGCAGAGTGTTGGACTTGACTTGGACGGCGACTAAACTTCCATTTTCCCGGCGGAAGATGACAAAGTCAAGGGCCATGCAGTTGGCGGGAGCCATGATGACCAGGAAAGGCGACGTGCCGCAGTGATTGATGCCCAGCTCTCGAGCTTCCCGCAGAAAACTTTCGAGCTTTTGTTGTGCCTCGTGCTTGTTTGCTGTTGCAAGGGCGGGATCCTGTGCCAGTGAGTCGTTAAAGCCTATATCCAGGAAGCTTCCACAGCTTGTTTTGAGAGCCTGTGGAAGCTTCTCATGCCCTTTCACAATAGCTAGCATAGCACCAAGAGCGCCTGTAACCTCCGTGAAATACGACGCAGCTTGCTTCACGTGTGTTACGTTGTCGCTTTCAATCGCCTTGCACTTGGCCCGATACGCTTCGCCCATCATGTGCTGAAGCTTGGCGACCCTAGGAAAGGACTCTATTGGGTTAAACGAGTTCTCGAACCAGGAGGCCGCATGCCAGGCTGCGACTGTTGGCATAAAAAGCCTCTGTTGTTGTGAGGTTTGCCTCTCCTCCACCAGCACGCTTCCCTGGTATATGCCCCGCTGCAATGACTTGATGCGGCTGACTTGAGCCAGCTGCTGGTAGGGGCAAGCCCGTGAGTCCCACGTCTCGAGCAGTGCCTCCAGCTCGTCTGCCCTGAATTGGGGTGGGAGGTTCACTCCCATGTCTCCAAGCTTCGCAATGCAACCCATTATGGAACCTCCAGACGGGCCTTTGAATCTTGCTTTCTTCAGCTCCGCTGTCAGATACTGGACGGCGCGGGCATAGCCCGCCGTGGCTCCCCAAGCAAGGGAGATGCGGTAGGCCAAGATTGCATTCTTAGTCCTGTTTCGGTCCCAGACGGTGAGCACTGACTGAAAGCGACTGAACGTGTCAGTTCCGAGCACAATCAAGATTTGAAACTCTACTGTCCGAATGCTCGCGTTGAACATGTTCACAGCTCCCTCATAGTCGCTGAGCGCCGACATCACCACCGAGACCTGCCCGGCCCAAGAATCCATCAGCTGACAAAGTCGCTGTCTAGCGAGACCCTCGTCGTCTGATCTGCCCAGCTCGTCGGCAAGGATTAGTAGAGGCCGGGCACCATACCAGTGGCGCAGGATCTTAACCACAAAATTGAGGTCGACAAGGCTCTGCAGCATGTTTTCAGATGAAACAGCGTGCTTGATGGCATCCAAGAAGGCCGTCCAAGACTTGCAGCGCAATCCAGTGCTTCTCATGTGATGGGCAGCACCGAACAGAACCCGCAGACCCAAGTCCACGCCGCTGTTGCTCATACGAAATACATCGGTCCACTTGTCGCCCATGGCAGAGTTGTAAGTGAAGACAGAAACAATCGGCCTCTGCAATTTGCCATCCAAGTCCCAAAGACGCGAGATGTTCTCACCCAACTCGGCCAAGAAATGGCTCTTGCCAGAGCCGGGCGCCTGCGCTACCAGGAGCGCTGGCGACAAACTCTTGTCAGAGCTGGCAAGCCTTTTCAAACGCTTTGCTCGAGCCACAATTTTGGTCACCATATCCTGCATCTCTGTGTCCCGATCCAAGAGTCTTGCTTTGTCTTTCCCAGGTGTGCTTAAAGCCAACTCACCATTGAATGGGCCCAAGCTGAGCTCAATGATGCAGCTTGGGTTTGACGAGTAGCCAGCATCTGTCAGCGGCCAGCCCTCTGTGCCGTCGAACAGCAGCTTTCCAAAAAACTCAGCAGCCTGGGACACGTCAACCTGCAAGGGAATTCTGAGGGGGTCATTCTTGACACCGCCGTCTCTCTCCAAAACCCTACATCAGCCCTACGACGTGCTGCAAACCCACACCTCTAGCCTCTCTGCAAGCACTAAGAGCAACCCTCCAGCAGCCAAAAGCCCCTCCCACTAAAACAGTGGTTTTCAAGCCGGTCAGCACTGAAGCCTAGCACCAAGAACAACAAACCGAGGGTTGACTGAGCCAAGCGGAAGGCACCCACTCGGTAAAACACGAGGTGCAAGCAGATTTGATTGGTGCCTGAAGTGAGCAAAAAGGTGCCTTCCGCTCGGCAAAACACGAGGTTGCAACCAGACTTGCGTGAAACCTGAAGCAGCCAAGACCCTGCTCCGAAAGCCCCTCCCGCTCCCCGACGTGCTGCAAGCCAACACAGTGGAGACAGCTTAACCACAAGGAGATCTTGAGAGGAAAGCCGCACCCCAAAACGCAACAACGGTGGACCGCACGAAAACGCACGACGACATGCAGGAGTGCTACAAACCACAGGCAACATGCCCACGCAGAAGCCCCCGGCCTGCACTCGTCTTGCCGGAACCCCACTGCTCGGTAACATCCGCGTGCTAGAGGCAGGCACGAAGAACCCAGGGTTGACTCCCTTGACCTCCCCCTTCACGGACACCTGAAAGTCGAGCCTCAAACAAAAACAACCGCAACCTGGAGAGCACAAAGCGAGCGCAAAACAGGCTGACCCCCCCACCTCGAGCCGAGGACTGACACCCCGTTCTGAAGCATCGGCAAAACACAAAGGGCAACCAGATTTGCCTGAACCTGCAGCAGCCAAAAGCCCCTCCCGCTCCCGAAGTGCTGCAAGCCAACACCGTGAAGCTTAACGACGAGCTGACCCTTGCTGAGAGGAGAGCATGACCCCAAAAAGCAAAACCGGTTGGACCGCACGAAAACGCACGACGACCAAGAGCCCCGGACAGGCAGGAGTGCTACAAACCAGAGTCAACATGCTCACGCAGAAGCCCCCGGCCTGCGGTCCGCGTGCTGAAGGCAAGCACTAAGAACGCAGGGTTGACTCCCTTGACCCCCCCCTCACGGACACAGTAACCTAAAAGTCGAGCCTCAAGCAAAAACAACCGCAACCTGGAGAACGAGCCCAAATGGGCGAGGGGAAAGCGAGCGAAAAACAGGCTGACCCCCCCACCTCGAGCCTAGGACTGACACCCCGTTCTGAAGCGTCGGCAAAACAAGAAGGGCAACCAGATTTGCCTGAACCTGCAGCAGCCAAGAGCCCCTCCCGCTCCCCGAAGAGCTGCAAGCCAACACCGTGAAGCTTAACGACGAGCTGACCCTTGCTGAGAGGAGAGCATGACCCCAAAAAGCAAAACCGGTTGGACCGCACGAAAACGCACGACGACCAAGAGCCCCGGACAGGCAGGAGTGCTACAAACCAGAGTCAACATGCTCACGCAGAAGCCCCCGGCCTGCGGTCCGCGTGCTGAAGGCAAGCACTAAGAACGCAGGGTTGACTCCCTTGACCCCCCCCTCACGGACACAGTAACCTAAAAGTCGAGCCTCAAGCAAAAACAACCGCAACCTGGAGAACGAGCCCAAATGGGCGAGGGGAAAGCGAGCGAAAAACAGGCTGACCCCCCCACCTCGAGCCTAGGACTGACACCCCGTTCTGAAGCGTCGGCAAAACAAGAAGGGCAACCAGATTTGCCTGAACCTGCAGCAGCCAAGAGCCCCTCCCGCTCCCCGAAGAGCTGCAAGCCAACACAGTGAAGCTTAACGACGAGCTGATCCAGAGAGGAGAGCATGACCCCAAAAAGCAAAAACGGTGGACCGCACGAAAACGCACGCGGGAGTGCTGCAAACCAAAGGCAACAGCAACAACTGCACACGCAGAAGTCCCCCGGCCTGCACTCGTCCTGCCTGGACGCTTGCTTTGGCCTCGTACTTCTGCTCGGCCTCCGTGAGCTCCTTCTTGGCCTTCTCGAGCTTCGTTTCGGCCTCCTTGAGCTTCGTTTCCGCCTCCTTGAGCTCCTTCTTGGCCTGCTTGGCCTTCTCGCTGCTGCTGTCTTCCAATTCCAGCAGCTGCTTCTGCAGGTATGCGGCCAGGGCTTCTGCCCTTTCCAGCCCACCCAGGGCCACATCTCGCTGTCGTTTTGCCGCATCCAGATCCTGCCAGGTGCAGGGGTGCCAAGAGCCCGCTCAGACGCAGCCCACGACAAGAAAGGCAAGCAAGCAACAACACCCTCGGAGGCACAGCCTGCTTGGCATCTTCGACTGGGGCTGCGGTCTGTACTGATTCAGCCTGCAATAGCAACCCCTCAAGCTCATCGGAATTCGTCTGAGGCTCCCTGGACCCACCACACCGAAAGGACAAAAACCACTTAAGCAGGAGACATCGCAACACGCCTCATCCACTGTCTTGTCCTCGGCCTGCAGCAAGGGGCACAGTCTCAAGAAAATGCCAGTGTCAGCGAGCCTTCACGGAGCCCGCCTCATCGAAGCTTGCTTTGGCCTGCAGGAGCCACACAAAACTGCGAAGCACTCACCGGCAAGAACAGGCTCCCTGGAAGTGCCTCTGTCGTCGCCTCTTCCATCTGATCCTTTTCTGAGGGGGCCTCTCAACACGGACTGATCCCGAAAAGACCCACATGTGCTGCTGGCAGGACCGATTCATGAAAGCATGAGATCATCGGAATCAACCCCTCAAGCTCCTCGAAATTAGTCTGATGCTTCCGCCGACCAGCTTTCAATGCGAAATGCGAGCACACACACACACACACACCGAAAGGACAAACCACTCTCGCCTTGCTTTTGCTGTCACGAGGTTCCAAAGGCCCCTGGTCAGAAACGGGCAGGAGCGAAGGAAACGCATTTAGAACTGCACAACCACGACAAACCCTTTTCGCCTTGTCGTCTTCATTGCCTTCGGCCTCAAAAGTGCCATCAGCCTCAGCTCTTCAGGACATAAGCTGGAACAGACTTTCCTCTCGGTCTCGGCTTCCCGCCTTAGCCCTGCGTGCAACGAGCGAGTTGCGTGCCCAAGCTCCCGGAGGAACCGACCTCGCTCTGACTCGCGGATCTCGGCACTCCATGCCTTACATCACATCCCACCTGGAAAACGGCACGGCCCCCGCTCCAAGCAAAGCCCGCGCCGTCTGCGTTGCTCGCCTGAAGCTGCGCGGGAACACATCTAACAATGTTCAAAGCCCTGGTCTTAGGCTCTGGCAACAACAACAAGAACAGCGCCAGCAGCGCCGGCAGCACCAGCACACGCCTGACCTTGCGCGATGTTGCTGGAGGCCTGCTCATGGCGGCAATGGTCCTAACTGTCCCCTTGCTCGAGCAAAAGCACTGCAATCTGCATGAACGAATAGTCAAGCTCTACCTGTTTCAGCTTGACTGCTGGTTCATCCCTCCAGCTTGCTGTTGGGCTTGGGGCTTAGAGTCTCCGGGTTGAGGATTTCGGGGTCACGGGGACGGGAGTTCAAGGGTCACGGCAAAATTGAGGAAACACCCAACGGCCCGACAAAAGCCCCGGGTGAAACCCCAACCGCCCCGCCAGGACCCCAGGTGAAACCCCCAACCGTTTTGCCAGGACCCCAGGTGAAACCCCCAACCGCCCCGCCAAACCCCGACAGGACCTCATGTGAAACCCCACCTGCCCCGCCAGGACCCCATGTGAAACCCCACCGCTCCGCCAAACCCCGACAGGACCTCATGTGAAACCCCACCTGCCCCGCCAGGACCCCATGTGAAACCCCACCCGCCCCGCCACAACCCCATGTGAAACCCCACCCGCCCTGCCAGGACCACCATGTGAAACCCCACCCGCCCCGTCTCTAATTGCGCCTCAATTCCAGGCAGGTCCAGACTGCGCCTCAATCCCAGGCAGGTCCAGACTGGGCCTCAATTCCAGGCAGTCATGGTTTCACATGCCCTGCGCCCCCCCTCCTCGGTTTCACATGCCCTCCTGCTCCCCCCTCCTGGGTTTTCACATGCCCTCCTTTCACACGCCCTCCTGCACCCCGCCTCCTGGGTTTCACATGCCCTCCGCGCCCCTTTTTCTGGGTTCTGGGTTTCACACTCATGCCCTCCTCGCCCCCCCCTCCTGGGTTTCACATGCCTCCTGCGCCTCCTGCCCCCCCGTCCTAGGTTTCACATGCCCTCCTGCGCCCCACCGCTCCTGCGTTTCACATGCGTTTCTGGGTTTCACCTGGTGTTCTGCGCCCGGATTCCGGGTTTCACCTGCCCTTCCTGGGTTTCCACGAAACGGGCCTGGAAGATGACGCAGTCTGGCCGGTGACTTCTGGGCCTCGGGGGGCGGTACGACACAAATAGGCAAATAGGGCGTGACTTCTGGGTTTTGGTCTCGGGAAACACGGGTGTGACTTGTGACTTTTGGGGCGTCGGCTCGGGGAACACGGGCGTGACTTTTGGGCGTCGGCCTCGGGAAAGCGGGGCGTGACTTGTGACTTCTGGGTTTTGGTCTCGGGAAACACGGGTGTGACTTGTGACTTTTGGGGCGTCGGCTCGGAGATCACGGGCGTGACTTTTGGGCGTCGGCCTCGGGAAAGCGGGGCGTGACTTGTGACTTCTGGGTTTTGGTCTCGGGAAACACGGGTGTGACTTGTGACTTTTGGGGCGTCTGCTCGGAGAACACGGGCGTGACTTTTGGGCGTCGGCCTCGGGAAAGCGGGGCGTGACTTGTGACTTCTGGGTTTTGGCCGCGGGAAACACGGGCGTGACTGTTGGGCGTCGGGCTCGGGAAACGCAAGCGTGACTTTTGGGCGTCGTGCCTCGATTCCAGGCAAGTCGTGCCTCAATTTCAGGGGAGTCCACCCGAGCCCCAAAAGTCACAAGTCAAGGCCGCTTCTCCCGGCCCAAAACCCAAAAAGTCACGCCTCAATTCCCGCCCCAGGCCCCCCAAAAGTCACAAGTCACGGCCCGTTCTCCCGACCCAGGCCCCCCAAAAGTCACAAGTCACGGCGTTTACTCCCGGCCCAAAACCCCAAAAGTCACAAGTCACGGCCCGTTCTCCCGACCCAGGCCCCCCAAAAGTCACAAGTCACGGCCTTTGCTCCCGGCCCAAAACCCAAACAGTCACGCCTCAATTCCCGGCCCAGGCCCCCCACAAGTCACAAGTCACGGCACCTTCTCCTGGCCCAGGCCCCCCAAAAGTCACAAGTCACGGCCCCTTCTCCTGGCCCAGGCCCCCCAAAACTCTTCTCCCGGCCCAAAACCCAAAAAGTCACGCCTCAATTCCCGGGCCAGGCCCCCCAAAAGTCACAAGTCACGGCCCTTTCTCCCGACCCCAAAAACCCAAAAGTCACAAGTCACGGCCCTCCCCTCTGGCCCCAAAACCCAAAAGTCACGCCTCAATTCCAGGCCCCCCAAAACCCCAAAAGTCACAAGTCACGGCCCTCCCCTCCGGCCCCAAAACCCAAAAGCCACGCCTCAATTCCCGCCCCAGGCCCCCCAAAAGTCACAAGTCACGGCCCTTTCTCCCGGCCCAAACCCCCCAAAAGTCACAAGTCACGGCCCTTTCTCCCGGCCCAAAACCCAGAAAGTCACGCCTCAATTCCCGGCCCAGGCCCCCCAAAAAGTCACAAGTCACGGCCCTTTCTCCCAGCCCCGAAACCCAGAAGTCACGGCCCGTTCTCCCGGCCCAGGCCCCCCAAAAGTCACAAGTCACGGCCTCTTCTCCCGGCCCAAAACCCAAAAAGTCACGCCTCAATTCCCGGCCCAGGGCCTGGGCCCCCCAAAAGTCACAAGTCACGGCCCTTTCTCCCGACCCCAAAAACCCAAAAGTCACAAGTCACGGCCCTCCCCTCTGGCCCCAAAACCCAAAAGTCACGCCTCAATTCCCGGGCCAGGCCCCCCAAAACCCCAAAAGTCACAAGTCACGGCCCTCCCCTCCGGCCCCAAAACCCAAAAGCCACGCCTCAATTCCCGCCCCAGGCCCCCCAAAAGTCACAAGTCACGGCCCTTTCTCCCGGCCCAAACCCCCCAAAAGTCACAAGTCACGGCCCTTTCTCCCGGCCCAAAACCCAGAAAGTCACGCCTCAATTCCCGGCCCAGGCCCCCCAAAAAGTCACAAGTCACGGCCCTTTCTCACAGCCCCGAAACCCAGAAGTCACGGCCCGTTCTCCCGGCCCAGGCCCCCCAAAAGTCACAAGTCACGGCCTCTTCTCCCGGCCCAAAACCCAAAAAGTCACGCCTCAATTCCCGGCCCAGGGCCTGGGCCCTCCAAAAGTCGGCCCTTTCTCCCGACCCCAAAAACCCAAAAGTCACAAGTCACGGCCCTCCCCCCCGGCCCCGCCTCAATTCCCGCCCCAGGCCCCCCAAAAGTCACAAGTCACGGCCCTTTCTCCCGACCCCAAAACCCCAAAAGTCACGGCCCGTTCTCCCGGCCCAGGCCCCCCAAAAGTCACAAGTCACGGCCTCTTCTCCCGGCCCAAAACCCAAAAAGTCACGCCTCAATTCCCGGCCCAGGGCCTGGGCCCCCCAAAAGTCACAAGTCACGGCCCTTTCTCCCGACCCCAAAAACCCAAAAGTCACAAGTCACGGCCCTCCCCTCTGGCCCCAAAACCCAAAAGTCACGCCTCAATTCCCGGCCCAGGGCCTGGGCCAAAAGTCACAAGTCACGGCCCTTTCTCCCGACCCCAAAAACCCCACAAGTCACGGCCCTCCCCTCTGGCCCCAAAACCCAAAAGTCACGCCTCAATTCCCGCCCCAGGCCCCCCAAAAGTCACAAGTCACGGCCCTTTCTCCCGGCCCAAACCCCCCAAAAGTCACAAGTCACGGCCCTTTCTCCCGGCCCAAAACCCAGAAAGTCACGCCTCAATTCCCGGCCCAGGCCCCCCAAAAAGTCACAAGTCACGGCCCGTTCTCCCGGCCCAGGCCCCCTAAAAACAAGTCACGCCCCTCCCCTCAAGCCCCAAAACCCCAAAAAAACCACCCCTTCGGTCCAAAAGCCAAAACTGCCGCGGCCTCGTCTACCACTACGCAGGCGAAAACCACGGGTGAGGACCTGAAAGCAAGAAAAGGGCCCGGGGTTCCCGGGAGGGGGCGGGGGAGAGGCAGGGCACTCTAAAGCTACAGGGGGGGGAGGGGAGGAAGGGCAGCACAAGGCGCACACTGCCTCGCTGCCTCAGAATCCCTGCCTTCCAACCTAAACCCTGAACTTCTGCGGTGTCCGACTCGCAGCACGTCGAAGAGGAACCTGAGCGGCGAGAGGGGACACAGGGTACTCTAGAGTTACAAGAAGGGGGACGGTCGGGTTTAGGGTTCAAGGGTGGAAGACAGCGCGGGGCACTCCTAACACCAGACCTCGCTGCCTCGGAGCCCCTTTGCCTGCAACCTCCAAACAACCCTGAAATCCTCTGCGCACCCGGCGGTCGGACACTACCTCTCTGTGTCAGGGCTGTGTGTGTGTGTGCTTGCTGCCTTCCTAACATGTGGTAGTTGCCTCTCTGCTGTAAGTGTCCGACTTGAAAGATGCATCGTCGGCCATGCAAAGCCTGCTGTTGCCTGCTGCTATATTGACGCTTTGAGGAAGCGAGCGCGGCTCAAGCACTCTGAAGTCCAACATGCCAAAAACATGCGAAAATCAAGCAAACATGGAAGAACCAAAAAAGCCAGAGTTTTTAGGGTTTAGGGCAAGGCTTAAGGGGAATGTTTGTTTAGGCCTGCTCGCCACAGAGCAGTGAACTAGGCCTGCTCGCCGCAGAGCAGTGAAACATGAAAAGACTCGTGCAATATGAAAAAAAGTGCCGTTTAGGGTTTAGGGGTTAGGGAGTATAGGGTTTAAGGAGGGCTTGAGCCGAAGCTGTACACGAAGACTTGAGCCAAAAACTGTACAAGCCGCTGTACAACCGGGAGGGCTTGAGCCAAAAACTGTACAACAGGACTCGACCGGCGAAGGGGCCCGCTCGGGCGACGACCTTTTTTCCGGGCGGGTTGTTCAAACAACTCACCATGAGCTGGGCTCAGCAACGACAAGCCATCAAACTAGCAGCCGAGGCCGGGGTCAGGGCGAGGACCTCGGCGGCAGGCTCAGAAACCCTTCCTTTGACACACCACCACCTCCGCTACGCGATGCTCAGCCGCCCGAACGGCGAGCTGACGAGGGCCGGCCAGTACTACTACCAACTGATCGGCCAGCCGCCCCCCAGCCGGCAGTACGACCGCAACCAACCCCTCGTCTGAAGAAAGAAGAGGGCCCTCACCCCAGGGTGGGGGCCCCCCGGGGGGCCCCCACCCTGGGGTGAGGGCCCCCCCCCCCCCCCGTCCGCGAGTCGGCCGGACAAGCTCTGCGTCGCCCGGCAGCTCGCGGAGCTGATGCGGCTGCCGCTGATGGAGGTGCTCTCGGACTTCGACGCAATCACCGCTATCGGAAGCAAGTGGCGGGAGCAAGGCATCACGCCCCGAGAGATCCGATCTTTCTGCCTCTGGCGCTCAGCCCCGATGTTCTACGTGGACTGCCAGGGCCGCCTGCTACAAGTTCGAGCCTGCGGTCAAGGAGCAGCGGGCCGTGGCCTTCAGCTGGAACGGCCACGCCTTCTTCTACAAATCCGCCCGCACCGTCGCGAGGTGCGAGCCGATCGGGGACCGGGCCCAGGCCAAATACCGGGGCGAGAGGAAGGCGGGAGTGGGACGGCGAGGTCGGCAGCGGCCACTTCTATGCCGAGGACCTGGAGCAGGTTCGGAGGGAGCTCCTGGGCGAGGGGCACTGCCCCAAGATGGTCATGCGGAGCATGAGCGAGTGGCGGCGCCTGCGCCTCCGTGTGCGGGGCGGCGAGGACTGCGTCATCTGCGCTTACCACGAGGACCTGGAGGTGCTGCAGGCCTGGATGGGCCGGCTGGGGCTGGCCTATCGCGGACAGCGCCTGGCGGGCGCGGCGAGCGAGGTTTTCCTTCACCTTCTCAAGGCCCGCCGCGATCCGCCCGGGTCTCGGCAGGCCGTGCTCGCGGAGCAGGACCACCAGTGCAAGCTCTGTGCGGCGCCCATCACCGCGGCGACGTGCGAGTTGGACCACATCGTCCCCGTGCACCAATCCTTCTCCGCACAGGCCCAGAATTTGCAGGCCCTGTGCCTCGAGTGCCACCGGAACAAAACGGCCCTGGAGTTCTCGCACCCCACGACGCTGGAGTCCCGCTTCAGTCGGCGGGCTTACGAGGCCTACGTGGAATCGCCCCGGCTGCCCCCGTTGGTCTTCAAGCTCAACAGCCACAAGCCGGAGCGGATCTGCCACGGAACAGACGTGGTCCGGTGCCGCAAGAAGGCCCTGGCCCACGCCAGGTTCCCGGCACCCATCTTCTGCCCCAAGGACAACATGGAGCAAGCCCGCGAGGGGCACCTGGCAGACCTGACCTACGTGAAGCTCCAGGAGGACGGGCGTTGGGCGGCCTTCCCGCGGCTCCCCTACGTGGGCGAAGGCTGGTACGCCAAGCCCGCGGTGGCCTACATGCTCGAAAGGGGCATCGCGACCTGGAACGACTTCGTGTGGAGCCTGGACACCACGGCGCACGTGGACCAGGAGTCCGTGACCCAGGCCCTGCAGCAAATGGAGGCAGCCTGGCCGGAGGGAGAGGAGCTGAAAACAATCCTCTTTCACGCAAACTCTGAGCCTGCATATGTCGGTCGTAACATGGTTATTCCATGCACTCAAAGCTACATGTCCAAAAGCTACCAAACTGTTCAATCAAAATAAGGGTACGAGTACAAACACAAAATTTGATCACCCCGCCCAAATGCGTGTTGCACCTGAGCACTCGTATTTGCATCAACAACAGTACGAGTACGTTTTGCAGTAGCGGACCTAAGTAGCTAAAGGTTTTATGGCGTGTTGCCATCCTGCTAGGCTCAACTGTACACTACGCGACCACTCCATCCACAAGCTAAGGTCAGCTTGGGACGAAATGTTTCTTGACAGACGCAAGAGGACGCCATTCATGCGAGCTAATGCGCATGCTGCGCCCCACATGTGCTTTCTCTTCAAGATAGCACTCTGAAGATTGTCACGGCCTAGTTACCGTGAGGAAGCTCATACTTCCTTGCGGGTTCAGGCTGCTCCACAGCCATCGAAGTTGATCCGGAATGACCAAGATTGACAGCAAAATGCTGTGTTGGCACGTGATGCACAAATGCATCGCTGCGGTATTCAAGAACACTGGCCCCCACATCCGTTCAAGCTCAAGTAGTCTATCTACAATCATCCGTCAACGAAGTGTTCCCGAAGGCTCACGCCGCTGACTATGTACAAAGATGACCAATGCATCTGCATCATGAGCATATTTCAAGTGGGTCACCAGCGTCACAAGAAAATGCTGGTTCGTTCATTTCTGTTTGCGATTGCCTCCGAAGCATCGCCCACATGGCTGGTAGCCACGTTCCTTGGCCTCTGCTAAGCCAAGTCGCAGGATCTCATCAGCGTTGTTCAAGCATGTGCATCCGCGCTTTGCACGGTAAGCTTTGCCTCGCCTTGCAGTGCAATAAACATGCAACTCTGGCGTATGCCCTGGCACTGTGGCATTGCCCACACGCCCACTGGTGGATGCAACTTGCAACGGTACACCTGATGATGACGCTGATGCACCCTCTCGTGCATGGTGCTCTGCCCACATCATGCGGTCATAGTCCATTTCATTGATGACTCCTTGCAAACGATCGGTCTCATGCCTTTCTGCCACCAGCAAGAATCTCAACTTGCGTAGCTGCATCATGAGCATCAAGCACACAAGCGAAGGCACACCGCACAGGATTGCGGCGATCACACTCCATCGCCCATACTCTGGCACAGACGTGCTCGGCTCGGCACTGGTGGTCCTATACGCGCTTGCATCGTCCCTGCGGCGATCGGCCCGCAGCCGCTCAAGGCTCAGCATGACACCTAGCAGAGACACGAGGATGACCAAACCGGTCACCCAAACGCTGAACCATCTTGTCTCTGGTTCTGTCTGAACACTCACATCACGCCTTGTGCCACTTGCATCTGCACCTGCAATCAAGCTCACCATCATCAAAACAAGATTGCTGTTGCTCAAACCATTGGTCCTCAGAGACTTGTTGATCAGTCGCCGGACACGGGCTGTGTCCTTGCAGTGTTGCAACGACTCGACCAACTGATCATAGTCGGCACGGCCTACCTCCTGGATGCAATCACCGGCACAGTCAACGAAGTCATGCATGCAAAGCAATGCTCTCAAGCGACTTCCAGTTGCCGGGACCTTGGTTCCAAGATCTGACGGGTTCCATCGCCCGTCGACTGAGCCAACTTTCAGTGTTCCATCTGCCGTCTTTTCCTGCACCCAGAGGAACCTTCCATCAAGATGCCTGATCTTTGATACACCCTGCTTCAAAGATATCTGGCGACAGCTTTGATTATCAGTCCTCATCCAAAGATCCACCGGTAGTTCAAGCAGGTATTCAAGAACTCTTTTCAAGTAGATGCCGTCGCACGCCGCGGAGACCAGAGCGTAAAATTCGCTTTCAGTACTACTGAGGCTTACGCAGCGCTGGCTTTTGCAGGAAGTATAGACGCAGCAGCTGTTCAGAAAGAACGAGCTGCTGCTCATCGAGCGGCGATTCTGCTTGTTGCCGCTCCAGTCTGCATCACAGAACACCTCCAGCATGACTCCATCACGCGCTCCACCAGGATCGGAAGGCTCAAGAATGCTAAGCTTGTCACCTCGGGCATGCACCTTGCTTGCGTAACCTGTGGTGCACGCCAAGTACGATGCCAACCTCTGACCCGAACTCCAAGTTGGCACTGTCGGCTCTCGGAGCTTCTGAGACAGAACCCTCACTGTGAAGGCAACGTCGGGTCGATCCTGGGACACGTACATTGCAATCCCGATTGCGCTGCGAAAGCGCGCAGCCTTCGAACTGTCCAGCAACTTGCTGGTGTCGGGCACCAAAATGTCCTTTGTGCACGGCGTCGGCACTTTCTTGTGCAGTGGCACTTCAAGAAGATTGCACATGTTCACTGCATGATCAGACAATGGCTTGATCAAGATACCATCTTCAAGAAGAACGTGCTCCCTTTTAAGAAACTTAAAGGAATCCCCGGGCTTGCATGCAACCTCATACGACAGCTCAAAAGTGCTTTCAAGACTGGGAACCAGTTGCTGCAAGATCCACCTCACATACCCAACAAGGCAGAGGTCATCGACGTGGATCACACCCGGATTGGAGCGATCTTTCGCATCCTTCAGCTTGTACAAGGAAGGGCACTCGGCACACACAGACAACGGGTGTCTCTCGCGGATGTAGTCCATGATGAACGAATGCCACCTGGCCGTTCCGTCCCTCTGCCCTGGCAGCATCTTGAGGAACCGCATCCTTTTAGGAAAACCCGGAATCTTGGCCAGCATGGGACGCTCCTGTGGGACGCAAAGAAAAGCATCTTTTATGTCGAGAGCTACGACGCCTATGGGATCATCGTCTGTGGCTGCACCTTCCTGACGCCTGTTCATCTCGCAAAACAGCCATGGCAGAAGTTTCGTGGTGAG